ACCTCGGGATGGGCGGGGGACGGGGAGGGGGCGGGCCCGGCGCGGGAGAGGGCGGGGCGTGCCCGCCCGCGGCCACGGAATCCTCGGCCTTCCCGCGTGCCCCGCCCGTGGGCTGGGGGTTGAGGCGCGGGGCTCCCGGCTCAGGGCGACCCCGTCGCAGCCCCCGCACGCAACAGCGCCGCCTACGGAGCAGGGGAGGAGCGGCGGGAGCGACCCCGCCCCCTGCTCAGCGCTGGGGGAGGGGGCGCGGGGGCGGGGCCCGAGCTCTCTCATTGGTCCGCAGCCCAGCTGTCCCGCCCACGGACTCGGCAGGATCCCTCCCAGAAGCGCGTCAGCGGGTTATTGTTACAACCCGGGGTTTCCCGGGGCAACGGGGATGGGGCGGGGCTCAGAACCCTTGGCCCCGCCTTCTACTCCCGAGGGGAATGCCCCGCCCCCTGCTTCCAGACCCCCGGGTTTCCTATCTTCGAAACCTGATAGGGCGAATGATCGAGCTCTCCTTTGTACCCTGGACTGGTCTGGGGAAAGGGAAGGGATCAAGAATATCAGTTTGGGGCGAGGCTTGGCCACAGTTGTAACTTCTCCATCTGCAAATGGGTTCTTCAGGGGCTCTTAGGGGACCTGTGGACATAGTTTTAGAGCCTTGGTTCTCAAAGTTTAACATGTAACAGAATCAACCTGGAGAGCTTGTTAAAACATTGCAGGCCAGTAAGCTTGGGTTGGAGCTCGAGACTTTGCATTTCTAGCAAGTTCCCAGATGATGCACCCGGGACCACATTTTGCAAACCACTGTTTTGTAGCCTCTGGAGGCGCTTGCAGGGGCTGTTGAACAAGCATTTGCCCCCAACTTCATCTTGTTTAGGGAGAAGCTTCTCATTTATTTAACTGATATTTATTGAGCACTTTTAATGCACCAGGCGCTGTTCGGGCCACTCCAACAAGAGTGGCAGGTGACAGAGACGGATGAGGTACCTATTGCACAGGCTAGTGGAGGAGTCAGATGTTGATCAGATCATTATGTGGCCTCAGAAAGGAGAGGGAGTCCACGACCTCATCCTGCAGGGTCCTAAGCTAGGTTTCTAGCCACCACTGTACCTGCCAGCCTTTGCTCAGGGTATCCCCTCTGCCAGAACACCTTTCTCCTCCCCAGGAACCTCACTGGAGACTCTCCCATTCTTCAAAGCCCAGCTCAAGTGTCAGCTCATCCTAACACCTTGTCTAACTCTAGCTCCTACCACCATCTCTGTTGCTTGCCCCCGCCACTTGCTGCTCTGCCAGCAACACCTTATGTCCCTTTAATACAATATTTCTCTCTTGCCAGTCACGATACTGAGGCCTAGAGTGAGGAAGTCACTCGCCCGGATGGAATGGCCAGCACCAGAAGCTCAAGCCCTCCAGCCAGGATGGTTCTGCAGGTTGGAGAGGCTGGAGACCACTGCTTACCAAGTTCTCCGGGCAGTGGGGGGGCCGGGCCCAGGCCACAGGAGATAGCTGGCTCTCAAAAATTCCTTCCTTCCAGCTTAGGTCCTGAGAAGTTGGGCCAAGGGTGAGGGTGGGGGTGGGGTGAGGCTGGAGGGGCCCCTCCTCGCCACCCCAGGGTAGCAGTAGGCCCAGCTTGCAAATGCCTGACATGGCATCTGCCTGACTCACATCCCCAAGGCAGGGGTGGGCATGGGAACCACTGGCTGCCCCCACTCGGCGTGCATACACACACCCTCCAGGTGGTTCTGTTTAGAGTCACAAGAGGCCTGAAATCATTGCTGGACCCCCTCCCGCACTTCTCATATGCCCTGCCTGCCTGGGGAGCCCATACTGGGGCAGACCCCCAGGTACCCTGGAGGCCACGCAGGCCTCCTGCCAGCCTCCAGCCTCGGCCCAGCCCACTGTGTGAGGGGCCTGCTGGGGGCCATACCAGAGCTGGGAGGATCCCTTAGCTGGGGGCCCTGGCACAGGCTGCCACTGCGGGGCCGGGAAGTCAGATTGGCAGAGATGCCCTGGCGACTGACTCAGGCTCTGCTCGCGCCCCTGCCCCTCCCAGTGTCCACAGCTGCTGCTCCTCTGGGACCCACGTCTGGCACACTCAGCCTCCCACACGTGTGTGTGTGTGTGTGCGTGCACGCGCACACACACACACACACACACACACACACACACACACACACTCAAGCTCACTCCTACCACAGACACACTCATTCTTTACTCACAACTTGGCCCCTGCTCACACATTCATTATGAGGCAGTCTAACACAGTGATTAAGAGTATGGGCAAATTACTTAACTGCTCAAAGCACTATTTCCTGATCTATAAATGAGTACCATCACAGCACTGACTTCGTAGGATATGTAAAGAATTCAATACCATCATACATGTCAGCCCCAGGCTCAGAGTAAGTGCTCAATAAACGCTAGCTCTTTTTCTTACCACTGCTGTTGTTCCTACATATCTTCCCTTGTCCCAGTTCACACCGTCCCCCCTGCTCTTGCCACGCACACAGTGGCACCCACTGGCGCACACTGGCTCACTCACACCCCCCCCCTGCAAAAGTCCCTTCACTTGGGTCTCCAAACCACACCCTCTTGAGGGTTCCCTTGACCCCAGCTCTCTAGCACTCCCCACCCCTCCCCCACGCTTGCTCTCTCATTCACCCTGCTTACCGCTCCCACATTCATTCCTGCCCACGAACAAGCCCCCACTTGCTGACCCTCGAATTCCTCCCCCTTCCACACCCAGGCACGTTTGCTTCTGCTCACGCCTTCCCGTGCGCTTGAACGCGCTCGCAATCCAATGCACGCACACTCGCTTGCTCCCATGCTTACAGGTGCATGCTTTACCCCGTTCAACTCAACTCGTGCTCGGATCACAAGCTTGTGCCCATACACCCAAGGAGTCCCAGCGCGTGCCTCACCACCTCCATGGTCCATCCCCTCCCGGTGACCGCTACACGGTATACACCTCTCACTTCTATGAACAGGGACATGGCCAATGGGCAGACACCCCCCTCTCGGGGCCACAGGGATACTCCCCACGTCCTCACAGGACTGTCTTCTCCTGGGCTGCTTCCCCTCCCCCCACCCCCGTCTCGGCTCCGCAGCCCTTCCCAACTCTCAGAATAGCCCCTGCCACTGCGGCCACCGCCACCTCCCCGCTGCCACTGCTGAGCTGTCAGGGCCCGCCAGAGCCCGCTTCCCCGGCGCTTGGTGCCAGCTGTCCCGGCTCACTCGGGGCAAGTGAGGACAGGAGGACGGGCTTCTCTGAGGTTTGGTGGGCGTAGCTACTCTGCACCCCCAAGAATCCCCTTGCAGAGTTGGCTCTCAGGGGAGTCCACTGCCACTTGCCTAGCATTCTCTTAGCCCCCCGAGGGCGGTGCCCGTGTTCCCTGACTCTCCTACCAGCAGGTGAAGGCAGAGAAGCCTGCCTCCCCTTCATGGCTCAGACAGACCGAGGTCTGAGGAGGAAGAGGTTTGCTCAGGGCAGCACAGTGTGCTGGGAGTGCAGCCAGACCAGGGCCGGCCGGTCCCTCATGGGGGGCTCACAAGGACCATCCCCTAAGCCACACGGTTGTCAAGAACCAGCCTCCCCCCCCCCCCCCGCCCCCACCTTCTGGTGCTGAGCACCGCCTGGTTGACATTTGATGCCACAGTTGTCAGGAAAAAAGAATAGCACAGGAGTGATGTCTGGGGACGCCTCTGGAGGGGAGGGGCCGGTGCCCAGACGAGGCCTCCAGGGGTGGAAAAGGGGAGCGTCTGCAGAAGCCAGAGGGGACATCAGGACAGCTGGGAGAGTCTCCAGAGCAGGCTCAGGCCTGGCCCAGGGACAGTGTCAGGGAACGGGTGGGGCTGAGCTGAGGCAGTGTGGCTGAGGGGGACAGTGCAGCAGGGGAGGGCCCTCATGACACGCCTCCTTTAGCTGCCTCCACAGTCCCTGCCTGGGGCAGAGAAAGTTCTGGGGCTTTGGGGAAGCAGCTTAGATCAGTGAGTGCCGGGTGCCCAAGGACCTTGTGTTCTCCTGAGCCGGGGACCGTACCACACCAACAGGGTAGAGAATTAGTGCTGAAACATACTGCCTCTCCGGGCCACGCCCTTCTGCACACCGTCCCATTCAGTCTTATCTTTTTAGCCCCGGAAGTTTTATGGAGCACTTACTGGCAGCCCCTGCAGAGCACCTGACAGGCATTATCCAGAAAACCCTGGCCCCTTGAGAGCGAGACCTTTGACCCTCCCTTGTTCACTTGTTCACCTGTCGGACGCATGTATGTTCCCTCCATCCTTCTCCACCATGGACTTGCCCTAACATTCTAAATTTCAACACAAGCACACCTGAGACCCAAGAGGCCTGTCGGTCACCCCTCTTCCTGCATGACAGGGGGGAGGCGTATTCGTTCGCTGGGGCTGCTGCAACAAAGCAGCAAAGTGGCTGAAAGCAACAGGAATATTGTCTCAACGTTCTGGAAGCTTGTCGTCTGAAATCAAGGGGCTCGCAGGGCCGAGCTCTCGGGGAAAACCTTCCTTGCCTCGTGCAGCTTCTGTTCATGGCCAGCAAGCCTGGTGTTCCTTGTCTTGTAGACACGTCGCTCCAGTCTCTGCCTCCTTCTCC